TCTGACTCACAGCAACCCATTACAGGGTTTCTAAGGCTGTAAAAGAGCAGAAAGCCTCATCTTTCTCCCGTGGAACAGCTGGTAGTTTCGAACTGCTGATCTTGTGGTTCACAGCCTGATTCATAACCACTATGCTAGCCAATTAATAAAACACATGGCATGTCAGAATTGTTTAAAAGACTTTAGATTATTACTCAGTTCCTAACAAAACAACTACATATATGTAAGTGTTCCATTCTCATAGTGGCTAATATACATGGGTGGTTGTTGTTGGTAAGTGCTATCAAGTCGGTTCCAACTCACAGCAATCTTTGAGTTTGAACCGCTGACCTGAAGTTCAAACCAAACTTGTGCTCCAGTGCTTATCCTACAGTACCACACCAGTACTCCATACATGTGTAGGACATAACTATTTATCCGATACCCACATTTGCAGTTGCAAATGACCTTTGTTATATGTTGAATATGCCAGGAATCACATAAGGAAATGGGCGCAAAAAATTAATGAAACCCATTCATTTTTAATATTTAACCAAAATATTAAAATTGGGGCAAAACACAGGAAAACATGTAAATGTTTAGGCTTCCAAGCTTTTGCAGAGGAGTTCCTTTGCAATTACTCAAGCTTCATGTTTTCCTGGCTTGCAGAATATGGATATTCAAACCATAATATGGCTATTCAAACCATAATATCATTATACATTGTTAGTGAAAAATTAAATATAAACTCTTAAAGGAGTTTCCTTCTTAAGAAGATTGTTATTGTTGTTGTTACATGTTCAGAATCATATTGGTCCTGTATAGTGTTTCCAAGGACAGGACAGAGGGTTTAAGTCGCCGACCTTGTGGTTAGCACTCCAGTACTTACTCTACATCACCATATGAGGGCTCTTCTTAAGAAGATAGATTTAAAAACTTCACTCTTCAAAGAGGACTAAAGCAAGGGTCTATTTAATACAATTTAATTATGCCGTAAAGGTAGAAAAATGAGTATATGCTGGTTACCTCCAATTTCCAAATCTTTCTCCATCATTAAGTAACTCATAGACTTTCCTTATGTGAAAAGGTCAGAGAAATAAAATGTTATGTAGATTTAATGAAAATCTCTACATTCATTTTATAGATAACTTCCTTTAATGGAGGCAGAAATTAAAATTAAAATAAGCAGTGCAATTAGTCTGGAAGAAGATGACCTTTCATGATTCACTTGCCATTTGTAAAATGCAGAGCTGAACTACTGAACATTTAAAGACTGTCTCCTACAAACTCCTCTCAAGGGAAATTAGGGCATTTTTATTGCTCCATCAGCATTTATTTCTAAAAGAAACTTCTAATTAAAACTGATAACGTTACATCATGCAGCTGCTAGAATGTCAGTCTGTAAGCTTGGATTACATCTCATGTACCATGAAAAATAGTGTGGAAACCCATGAGGAAGACAATAGAAGCTTTAAAATTGACGTATGAAATGAACGTTTTGTTGCCCTACAAGTCTCATATTGCTTTTATTAGTTCCAATCCAGTCAACTGAAAAATAAGTTATAATTAATTTATTTCCACCTCAGGGTAGTGGTTACTTCTTCAACCTATAGTCAGATAAAATCTTTAACCAACATTCCATGTGAATGGAACTGTCATTTGAAGTGCTTGTTGGCTGGGTCCATATAAAACCAAGAGGCTAAGGCTGCTTTATTTCCAGCTAGACATTAAACTCTACTAAAATGAGTGACCATCAGAACGATGATAAAACCCATGAAAAAAATGTTTGTCACTATGTAAATGCTTTTCAACTCAATAATTTAGCTCTATAAATCTAAGCTTTTAATAAAAAATAGAATATCATATAAAAATGATTAATTACCTCTATTCAAAATATATTACCTAAACTAGATCAAGGTTTAAGGAGATAGAAATCACTAAGTGGCATTTGGTACCTCATTCGTTAAACCATACTGTAACATCTTTCCCTTAAATTTAGATGTAACATTTTGTTTTAAAGTATTATTTGTAATGAAACACTCTGACTCAAATTTTACCAATATCATACTTTGCTAATTGTGTTAAGAATAGATATACATATGAGACAGAGAGAGAGCTACAAGTAGGTTTGTACGGTGGTGGTGGGAGTTCTCTTTGTATCACTTGTATTTTTCTCACTTACATGGAAAATGAAAACATTACCTGAGAGAAAATGGGTAGAAAATTGTTAAGGGTTTGAAGAGAGAAGAAAAGCTACCAAAAGTTACCTAAGAGCATTCTCAAGTACTAGACTACTAAGACTGCCAGGTATCACTAAGGCCCATTCAAGACCAGTGGCCAAGCATTGTAGGTGATAAGTCGGTCAGTGGCATCTTTATAAGTTCAGGCTAAATATTATGAAGCCATGGGATGAAGCACCACAGCAAATCAATGACATCAATGAGAAACAGAGTAAGAAACTGAAAGGAATTCTGAGAAAATGTTGTAGAACCAAGGATTGCTGTTGTTGTTAGTGCCGTTGAGTCGATTCCAACCCATAGCGACCTTGTATAGAGTTTCCAAGGAGAAACTGGTGAGCTTAAACCACCAATCTTGTAGTTCAAATGACTTCACAGTCTGACACATTAGCCCACAGCGCCACACCAGGACTCCAGAACCAAGGATAATGAGGGTGTTATTGAGTCTTCTTCTGTTCAGTTTCAAAGGCAAAGTCAATGAGAGGAACACTACAGCCATGATACTCAGTAAGACTAAATGAGAGCAACTGGGATTTTTTTTTTTTTAATATATCAGATTATACTATTAAAAGATAAATATTATTTTTTATTCATTTGCTATATAAACACAAGTACATACATAATGTAATTTATGTAAAATAAATTATAATTTGGAAGGAAGATAGAGGAGGTGACCATTACAAATTATTACTTGGTTTCGGGAAACATTATTCATAACATAATATAAAACATTATATAGAATTATACCACATAGGTGTTCATTTCTAAGTTTATAATGTGAGGTTTAAAAAAAATTGTTTATAGTTTTTGTTAATTTTCTTTTCCATCAAATTGTTAAGGGTTTGAAGAGAGAAGAGAAACTATCAAAAGTTACCTAAGAGCATTCTAAATTATTTTTCTCTGAAAGACTACCTTTTCTAATATAAACACATTAAAAAGAACTTATGAAAATGCAAAGACTTAATGTCAGTCCTACTAAAAACAGGAAACAAGCTGAACTGAAATACTCTTTCATACATACGTAAATATAATCAATTACCTGTAATCTGTGCCATTAACAGGAGTCCACGTGTACGTTCTATTTCCTTTGTCAATGTACCTCTAGAAAAAATGTTTAATGTTGTTATTATCACCTTATATTGCCTATGAATTTTATGAAGAGTGGGGCACTAAGGTCATTATCCAAATTATTGTCATTTTTTATACTATGACTTATCGATCCTACATTTTAAAAAATTATATAAAGCAAAATTTTAAGAGAGAAATAAATATCCAATGCTAAAGTTTTAAAGACTCAAACTATCACATCTTAACTTTTATTTTAAATTATTACCATCAAAAATTTGAAAAATTTCAATAACAAAATGAGACTGAAATATAAACATGGTGCATATATTTCCATTGGAAAGTATGTCTAAGAGTAATGGTTAGTATCATGAAACTCATACTGTGTGTCTGGATCCAAATGAATGATTAGCACATTCTTATTCTTATAGAGCATTAGACTAGTTTACTCAGTTTCCATGATAGTTCAAGCAAACAGAACGGAAAGTCAACAGAGTTCAATGATTTCAAACATCTTCTCTTTATAAAAGGATCACGGATATAGAAATTTTGTCACTGTAGCTACAGAAATTCTCATTTTTTCTTCCATTTCATAGCAGCCCTACATGCCAGAGTAGAACAATCTATAAGCCATTTCTATGATCATAAACATTATAGGAACAGAAAACCAAGTTTTTTTCTCCTCAGAGTCACTGGTAGGCTTGAACCACTAACTTTTGGTGAGCAGTTGAGTGATTGAATCACTGTACCATCAAGGTTCCTTTCCATTAGGAATTTAGTGAGTACCATGGAGTCCATTGTGACCCATAGTAACCTGCATATGGTTTCCAAGAAGCGGCTGGGGGGTTCTGAACGGCCGACCTTGGGGTTAGTAGTCTAGTGCTTATCCTACAGTGCTACTCCAGTCCATTAGGTATAGTGGTGGCATACTTCCATCTTTTTTACATTTTTGCTATTGCTTCCTCCAGCCTCTTCCTCCTGTTCAGAATAATATTTATTGAAGTGTTACTTGGTGTTAGGTTGTTGTTAAGTGCCATTGAGTCGATTCCTACCCATAGTGACCCTGTATAGGGTTTCCAAGGAGCAGCTGGTAAGCTTGAACAGCCAACCCTGAAGTTCAAACAGCTTTGTAGTCTGGCACATTAATCCACAACACCACACCAGGACAAGTGTTAATAACAAGTGTTAGGTACTTATTAATAATTAAGCTGTTTTCCCTAAAAAAGATACGTTGATTTAAGTCTTAAATCCTGTACCTGTGCATGTGACTGTGGGTTAGGCTTTGGACTCCTAACAGCAATGTCGGTGGTTCAAACCCACCACCTGCTCTGTGGATAAAGCTGAGAGTGTCTGGCCCTGTAAAGATTCATAGTTTCAGAAACTCTGTTGTTGTTGTTATGTGCTGTGGAGTCAATTCTGACTCATAGTGACCCTGTACAGGGTTTCTGACACTGTAAATCTTTATGGGAGCAAAAAGACTGATGTTTCTCCCATGGAACAGCTGGTAATTTTGAACTGCTGACCTTGAGGTTAGCAGCCCAATTTGTAACCACTACGCTACCAGAGTTCCTTTCAGAAACTCTGTAGTGTCATTTGAATTGTAATCAACTCAAAGGCAGTGGGAACACATTATCAGTTTTTAACATATTATCAGTTGAGTCATACTAGAGTAGGGTAGGTCCTAATCTTCATTTGTTCTGAGTGATTTAAACAGGAATGAATACATACAGAGGGAAGACACAATGCAATGATTCATCTACAAGGAAGATGCAAGTTTTCTGGCAGTCACCAAAAATTAGGCTAGAGAAAAAATGATACTTTCTGAAGGATTTGAGAAGAAAACTAACACCAAAAAATCTGATGAAAACTTTTAGTCTCCTGAACTGCTGTTGTCAAATACCACCGAGGCAGTTCTGATTCTCTGAGACCTTGAGTAAGGTTTCTGAGTTGCAGCTACATGGTTTAAATCACTGACCTTTTGATTAACAATCCAGTGATTGCCTAGAGTCCCACACCAGAACTGTGAGACACTATATTTCTGCTCTCAAAGCCACCCATTTGTTTATTTTGTTTAGGCAACTCTAACAAAATATGACAGCACTAAATAAATACCTTATAAGCATTGTGTTATTTAATAAATATCTGGAGGACATATTATTATTATCCACACATTACTGATGAAGATGTTTTAGAGAGAAAACTTGCTCTTTAAATTGGCAGAACAAAAGAATATGCATGATGTCAAATCCACTGTCATAACTATACCAAACGTCCCATATAAAGCATCCCTATGGCTCTAAAAATGTGTGTGGGGACATGAGAGGAGAGATAGGGAGGAGGTGTTTGGACTAGTAAAAATCTTTAAAGAACTAATGTTTATATATTTGCTAATATCCCTAAGAACCACCACTTGCCTGTCAGTTTGTCATACTGCGATTGCTTGGGTGTTGTTGTGATTCTGGAAGCTATGCCACTGTTATTTTAAATGCCAGCAGGGTACACCCATAGTGGACAGGTTTCAGAATAGTTTCCAGAATAAAACAGACTAGGAAGAAGGAGAAGTGGACTGCTTCTGAATATTTAGCCACTGAAAACTTTATGAATAGCAGTGGAACTCTGTCGGATAATACTGGAATACTGAAACATGATAAATAGCACCAACATTGCCAAACATAGTGCCAGAAGATGAGCATCTCAGGTTGGAAGGCACTGGAAATACGACTGGAGAAGAGGTCCCTCCTCAAAGTAGAGCTGACTATGAAGATGTGAATGGAGCAAAGCTTTCAGGACCTTCATTTGCTGAAGAGGCACAACTCAAAATGAGGAGAAACAGCTCTACACAGCCATTAATACTTAGAACATAGAATGTACAAAGTATGAATCTAGAACTGCTAAATTCCTGTATGATGTGACCAAGAGAAAAAATGTTTACAAATACATTTGTGATTGTTTTGATGAAATTCCTTTCAGTTTGTCTGATGTAAAGAGATGCTCTGTGGGAAATAATTTATAAATAATGTGCTTAGATTACTTGATGCTCTTTATGCTTCATATTGTGAGATATGCGAACAGTAAAATTTTCTATTTCATATGTATCAAAATTGGTACCAAGAAAGGTTATATGGTATCCTAAAACAAAAGATAAGAAATTCACAATCAATATCTGACCTCAGCCTAGATGATTCAGCTACTTTGAGTGAAACAAAACCAAATATTATAAATGAATAAACAGAAAACAGACAAACTACTAATATGAATTTTTAATATTTTTTTATTTACAAGCAAATCTCAATTCTTACCTCATCTTGAGATTTAACCAGGGTTCTGAATGTTTTCTCTCCACTTTCTCCATCTATCATTTTCTTTCGAATCTAAGGAAAAATTAAAAAAAAATATATATATATACTTTATTTCAGGAACCAAATGAAGCTAGTAAGGTAGGACTATTAAAACATTAGTTTTTCAAGTTGTTGACTTTATTTACAACAGATTGAGTGAAAACTGCAGTTGCCTTATTGCCAATAATTGTAGTTGTTCTCTGGGAGTCTTCTATTAAAAGATGCTACATTATAGTCATTTTCCCATTATACTACTATTTTTTTTAAGTCCTTAAGGAAATATTCAAATGCTATTCATTTTTAAAGTATTTGATAAAAGTGAAATCCATTATTTTATAGGATTAACAAAGTTAAGTGAAAAGTAGACATCTAAAATTGGCAAAATATATGCAAATACAGAATTAGTATATAATATGGAATGTCTCAAACTTCTGCATTAAGAAATAATTTTCAATAGCACAATTTATACAGTGAAACCTGCGAGAGCTGGACTTCAACAGGAATGCCTTGTTTTTCTGGGTCTCCCAAGTGTTCCACCTTTGAAAGGATGTATTCTTACCACAATTTTGTTGCTCATTTTAGTGGAAAATATTTGTATTTTCCTTGTCTGACAGATTTCTGACTTACACAGGGTCCAACTTTCCAAGATTTGACTCTGTCTTTTTTAGTTTTTGTTTGTTATATCAGGCAGTACAAAATAATCCACATTGAAATGTTGTAGTTGTTAGGAGCCACTGAGTCGGCGTTCTGACTCATAGCGACCCTACATACAACAGAATAAGATACTGCCTGGTCCTGGGTCATCCTCACAATTGTTGTTATATTTGAGCTCACTGCTGCTGCCACTGACAATTCATCTTCTTGTGTGGGGGGGGGAGATGTCTTTATCTTTTTCACTGACTCTCCACATTACCAAGCATGATGTCCTTCTCCAAGGACTGGTCCTGTCTGATAACATATAAGAGAGAAGATGCATTACCAGACTGGCTTCTAAGGAACGTTCTGGGTGTACTTCTCCCAAGACAGATTTGTTTGTCCTTCTGGAAACCCATGGTACTTTTAATATTCTTCTCCAACACCATAATGCAAATACATTGATTCTTCTCCGGTCTTCCTTATTAACTGTCCAATTTTCACATGCACATGAGGTGATTGAAAATATCATGGCTTGGGTCAGAGGCACTGTTGTCCTCAAACTAATTATCTTCACTCTTTAACACTTTAAAGAAAAGAGGTCTTTTTTTTTTTCATAGTAATAGAGATTTCAAATTCTAGTCTAATGGACATTCTCAAATTTTCATTTAAATGGTTCTCATTTTACATAACTCATTCTGTGATTTACATTTGACTTTTGGTAACTGTAAATAATAACTGAACTTAACCTAGTGTTAATACAAGAACTTATTTAAACTGGAGGAGTATATGATTAGTCTAATTTAGCTCACATAATCTGTCTGAAAGGGAGGAGTAGCTACATCTCCTAATGTAAGCTAGGTACATACTTATGAGGAGTTTCAAAATAACAAAAGGACTTATACAAGCCCTTTGCCAAACTCTTTGGATAAATTACTCCATCCAATCATTGCACTAATTGACTGAAGCAAAACTAAAGCTATATTGTGCTGTTGTCAGGTTCCATCGAGTTGGTTGAGCCTCTTATCAACCCTACACATAACAGTGTCCTGCACCATCCTCACAATCACTGCTGCCTAAGCACATTGTTGCAGCCACCATGTCAATATATCTCACTGAGGGCCTTCCTCTTTTTGGTGACACACTACTTTATCTTATTTTCCTTCTTGAGAATTGGTTCCTCTGGAAAGCATGTCCAAAATATATGACATGAAGGAGAAGGGCACAGTTATCTTGAGAAGGGTGCAGCCATCTTGAGGAAGTTACAGCAAATATGGCCACAGGACAGAAATACCATCGCAGAGACCTGATCGATCTTCAGAGATAAAGGTGCGAATAATTTTTCATCTGCCCATTTCCCTTTTTCTGCCTGTACACCACCACTCTGGTGAGTAGAGGGAGTGCCTGAGTGAGCAGGCACCCTTCCCATCCCTGGAGGATACTACTACATGGATCTGCTCAGCTGTGAACTGTCTCCCACTAGGAGCAAAACCTAGGCTATCGTGCTACAGATTCTTTCTTTCTTTTTTTCCTGCAATTGTAGACTATAGAATCCAATCTGCTTTATTTATTTATTTGCTGTTGCTGTTTGATTTTTTGGTCCCCCTTTTACCTGCAGGGGTATCTTTTTCTCCCTGCATTACCCAAGAAGAGACAGCAATTGCAGTCATATATATATATAGCCAAGCTACAATCACACCTTATAAAATCCCATCATCCAGGCAAGAGCTAATACCAGCTGCTATATACCAGATAAGACATCCAACACCTGCTACAGTTACTCTGAGTTGAGTAATAAGAAAAGTGAAAAGCGAAGCCCATCTCCTGATCACATCTGCATGGAGGCAATCAGAAAGCATAATAAAACATCAACATAATTCATTTAATTATTAAAATCACACCTAATTATAGAAGATGCCCAAGAAACAGCTGACCATATCAGCACATTTCTAGAAACAAGATAGTGTAACTGAAACAAATAATCTGGAGGTAGACCTAAGTAGACATTGGAAGGATGGCAGGCTTTGGAACTACCTGAGAAGGAATTCAGGAGAATGATATGGAAGTGCATTCCAAATGCTCCACAGAGGGTTTGAGAAAAATAAGGAAGAAGTCAGCAAAGTTCTACAAGAACAATAAAAAAAGATAGATACAGCATTGGAAACAATTCAAAACCTACAAAAAAAGGTTCAAATGATTAATGATAAAAATCATAAATGCACAAAGTATATGAGATGAAGTCTCTCTATTTTCACGTCTAAGAAACATTCTGTCTGTAGTTTTTCCACGACAGGTATGTTCGTTCTTCTGGCATCCCATGATATATTCGATATTCTTAGCCAACACCAAATTCAAAGGCATCGATTCTTCTTTGGTCTTTCTTATTAAATGTTAAGCACTCACATTTATATAAGGAGTTGGATAATATATATAAGGAGTTTGATAATATCTACAGTCTGTTGGGTGACTTTTCTTTGGGATGAGCACAATATAAATCACTTCCAGTTGGTTGCCCAAGTAACTGTTTCCCAAATTCCTTGAATTAGGCAAGTGAGTGATTCCAGAGCTACGTCTGTTTGAGACATTGGTATGTACTCAATTCCTAGGGTGCTTGTTTACCACCAGTGCAGTACCACTGGTTCTTGATCATATGTAGTAATTATGTGCCGTGGAGTCGGTTCCGACTCATAGCGACCCTGTACAGGGTTTCTGAGGCTGTAAATCTTTACAGGTGCAGAGAGCCCCATCTTTCTCCCACAGAGCAGCTGGTAGTTTCAAACTGCTAACCTTAAGGTTTGCAGCCCAATTCTTAACCACTATGCTACTAGATTTGACCATAAAAAAAATATTGAATATCAAGCAATTCTTTTTGATACAGTGACATTGTGTATTTCTTCCATCTTCTTTTGATACATCCAATATTGTTTTGATAAACACTGAACTGCCAACTGCAAGGTCAGCACTTCAAACTCACCAGCTGCTCCTTGGAAACCCTATACAAGGTTGCTATGAGTTGGACCTGTCTGTATGGCATATGAGAACAACATATCATTCAATAAAGTCCTGGTATGGCACTGTAGGATAAGCAAGGTCAGCAGCTCAAACTCACCACCCATTCTTCAGAAAGCCTATACAGGGTCACTATGAACATGGGAACACTGAATGGCTTAAAATTAAGAAAGGTGTGTGACAGGGTTGTATTCTTTCACCATACTTATTAAAGCTGTATACTGAGCAAAAAATCTGAGAAGCTGGTTTATATGAAGAAAAATGTGGCATCAGGATTGGAGGAAGACTCTTTAACAACCTGCGATATGCAGGTGATACAAACTTGCTTGCTGAAAGTGAAGAGGATTTAAAACATTTACTGATGAAGATCAAAGAGCACAGCCTTCGGTATGGATTACATCTCAATGTAAAGAAAACAAAACTCCTCACCACTGGACCAATAAACAACATTCTTATCAACGGAGAAAAGATTGAAGTTGTCAAGGACTTCATTCTTCTTAGATCAACAATCAACACTCACGGAAGCAACAGTCAAGAAATCAAACGACGTATTGCATTAGGCAAATCTGCTGCACAAGACCTTTTTAAAGTGTTGAAGAGCAAAGATGTCAGCTTGAGGACTAAGGTGTGCCTGACCCAAGCCATGGTATTTTTAATCACCTCACATGTATGCGAAAGCTAGACAGTAAATAAGGAAGACCGTAGAAGAATTGACACATTTGAGTTGTGGTGTTGGAGGAGAATATTGAAAGTGCCATGGGCTGCCAAAAGAACCAACAGATCTGTATTGGAAGAAGTGCAGCCAGAGTGATCCTTGGAAGCCAGGATGGCCAAACTTCATCTCTCATACTTTGGACATATTGTCAGGAGGGACCAGTCACTGGAGAAGGATATCGTGTTTGGCAGGGTCAGAGAAAAAGAGTAAGATCCCCAATGAGATGGACTGGCCAGGTGGCAGCATCAATGGAGTCAAGCGTGGCAACAGTAGTGAGGTTGGCCCACGATCGGGCAGTGCTTTGTTCTGCTATGCATAGAGTTGGTACCGACTTGATGGCACCTAACAACAACAAGATGAATCAGAACCAACTCCACAACACTTGCCAACACAGTATACTGCTCAAAGCTGTTGGATAAGCACTGGACTGCTAACCACAAGATTTAAACATACCAAATCCTTGAAAGATTTACAGTCTCGGAAACCCTTTATAGGATAGCTTACAAATAGGAATCACCTTGATGGCAGTGAATTTGGTTAATGTTGTTCAATACGTTCATCACAGAATCTTTCAATAATGCAACTTAAAAGATGAATTTTTCTTCAAATATTTCAGATTTAGAAATGCTGAATATATTTATTTCCTTTTGGATTTGTAACCCAGGACTTCATCAGTACAATGGCTACAACAAAAATAACTATTTCAAATACTCTTAGAACCCACTCTTGGTATATATTATATACTGAATAAGTGGTACTGTTACTCATTATTCATAAGAATATCTTATTACAGAAAACCATTCAGGGGAAATGAAAGAATTTTGGTTTGAAGTAAAATGAAAATGTGCTTCTGTGAACCGCAAGGTCAGCAGTTCAAAACTACCAGTGGTTCCGCGGGAGAAAGATGAGGCGTTCTGCTCCCGTAAAGATTTACAGCCTCGGAAACCCTGTGCAGGGTCACTATGAGTCGGAACCAACTCCACAGTACTTAACAACAACAACAAAACAAACTTAGGAGCTCCTCTCCTTAAATTACTCATTATCTATTTGGATTCTCTCTAACTTTCCTTTCATTTCTCCAGAAGCACCTATGTTATTGAATTTTTCAAGTTATTTATGTATTCAAAGCAATTATATTCCTATCCTCAAAAGAAGAAAAAATGCAAAAACAGAAAACAAAACAAAATGTTCGTAATCAAATTAAAATATATATTTCTCTTCATATGATCTTGTTAATGAGAAAGCTTAGTATCTAAAGCTTTTTAAAACTAAGAACATTCATCTTTGTATATAGAGTATCCTGGAAACATCATAATAAAATGAGACTGTTCAACATATACAGTGAAATGGATGAATCTGAGCACCTGACCTGAGAGCATCTTTCTGGTCTACTGGTTAGACTCACCTTCACTTTAATGTCATTCTCTAATTCTGCATCAAGGAAATCCAGTGTTACTGGCTCCTGAGATTTGGGATTCTATGCAGAAAATAATAATTAAACACATGATACTATAAAATGATGATATGTATAGAACTATTCAACAGCAATTTAAATATGAAATAAATTTAGCAAAATGTACTTACCTCAAATACATTTAAAAACTTATAAAATAATACTATAAGAGAATCTTGTTTCATACATTTCAAAAGAAAACCAAATACTTTGATAAACAAATAAAGAAATAGTCAGAGCTAGACATCTGAGCTTTAAGCATAGTAGACAAAATTTAACTGATGACCCTCTTTTCCACTGTTGTATTAGATAATGGGAGCCCTGGTGTGGCGCTGTGGGTTAATGTGTCAGACTGCAAAGTCATTTGAACTGTAAGGTCAGTGGTTCATGCTCACCAGCTGCTCCTTGAAAACCTTATGCAGGGTCGCTATGGGTCGGAACATACTCGATGGCACTTAACAACAACAACAATTAAAATCATAAGTTTTGTGAAAGTATCTCTTGAAGATCTACAAATATCTTTTTTTTTTTTAATCAAATGAAATGGGCAAAATATAGCTTAATAGGTAATTTATTGAGAGGAAAAAACACAGAAAAATATACATGTATACTTTTTGGTATTCTATAAAGACAGGAATTTTTATGAGGAAAAATGTTAACTATCTCTTATTTTGCTAAGTAAAACTACCTTTTCTAGATCTACTCATCCTTTTCACAATGCAGAGAAGAAATTTATACTTGCTTCACATATTTGAATTTCAGAAACTTTACAACGTATTTCAATCATTCAAATAAGCTAAAATATTATATAAATATTTTAAAATTTGTGATCAAACACAAGGACTTGAATAAAGATTGGCTATTGTAATTAAAACCTGAAGAATAATGATGCCCGGGTTTAATAAATACTACTTTCTCCTTCAAGATTTCCAACCATTTGGAATGTTAACATTCTTGCTTGTGTATAACAATAAATGAAATTAACTGTGCAATAAGATTATTTATATAAGAATTCAAACTGTTAGCCTGAAAAATTGGCCTCATATGACTTTACTTTAATTTTTCAATCCCAAAATGAAAAGCCATTGAACTATTTGATAAACAAAAATATACTGTTACCTAATAACAGTTGCTAAGTAATTTAAAAAGATATGATTAAAATAAGTATTATAATTCTGATAGGTTAAAATACTGACCATTGTTTAGACTTTGTACTTATTGCCTCAGTAGCAAATAACTCCTTTGAAATACAACATATTTTCATTTAAAGAAAACAAACGCCAATATGGTAAAACTTTTAACATATTATTTTTAAAAAATGAAACAGAGAAGTCCCACAACAAAAGGATACTCTAATATTTATAGTATTATTCAGAATCGATTACTTAATATCCCATGAAAAGACAAAGCATCTTCACACAAACACCACTATACCAGCATTAAAATTTTAATGAACTCATTGCAAAACAATTAAAGTAATCAAAATGAAAAAAACATAAATAGAAAAAAAGAACATTATCTTACATGCAATGGATAATGTATAGCATGACCAGACCCAAACAGCATGCATGGAGGCATTGTCAAGAAGAATTGGCAATATGAAGATCATGTCCCAATCCAACATATAAAGACAGAGAAGAAAATGAAATGATGAAAGAAAAACATCAATGCATAACTTCTACTTTTCAAATGGCAATCTAGTTGACCATTTTAAAAAGAAGATCAGAGTCACAGTGTTTGACTAATTCAGGAGGAATAACACGTAATAAGAAAGCACCAGAGACCCTTAACTGGAATCTGGGTGGGCACTACACTTCTACTACTTTTGTTTGATATTCTAAATATTTAAAACTTCTCATTTGTAATTTGTATATAAATTTATTTGCAAATAATTTTCATTCCATTTTTGGAAACAAAATGAAAGGTAGCCTGCAATATCATTGGCATTTAAAAATTGAAATAATTATTACTCAGTGGTACCAAAATACAAGCTTTGAAAAATATCCCCCAAATTGAGAAGACTGTGGGACTACTAGTTTGCCATTTGGGCTTTTTGTAGAAGAAAACCAAAAATAAAGCAAACCATTTTTCAGGTTGTTTATTTTAAAATTATATCACAATTATTTTCATGCAATATTTAAGACTGCTACAAAGAAACATTTTAAATCACTAAAATATAAATGACTGCAAAGAGGATAAATAATATGCAAAAAGAAACATGCAGAAAAGTAACATAAATTCCATCCCCCACATAAAAGGCATAAACATAATTCAAATTTCCATAGGAATCAAAAAGATATTTTTATTGAAAAATATTTAGATGCCTGATTCCCATTCCGGGATAAGTTAAATGAGAATTTTCAGAAGATGGAAGTAGGCATCAGTATATATGTGTGTGTGTGTGTATTTCCTGAATAAATGGACTTCATAAAGTAGAAAACAAAGAATTTGTCTTTTAAATGAAGAAACTGAAGTACTGAGGGATTGAGTGAACTACTCAAGGACAGGACCAAACAAGAACTCAGTTTTATTAATGCATAGTCCTCTTGATCTCTTTTTATTATTATAGCACCTCTACATCATAATGTTACCAATATCTTAAAAAGAAATGGTAAGTTTGCATGTAGAGTCTTCAATCACATGGAATTTTCTTTTGAATTTTTAAGTTTTCTTAACAAGCTTTACTAAACTGTAAGAAACAACCATTATGACTGTTCAATTTAGTGGGCTTATAGAAATATTTTGTTTCCAATAGAAAAAAAAAAATGTTTTGCATAGTTTACCAGACAATAAAAGCTTATACTAGCTATTTGAAATTTCAGATATTTTTAATTAACTGAATGGACATTTCTCTAATTTCTAATCCAAAAAATGCACTCTTCTAAGAATATAAGTAAGTTCTGGTTAAAATTTGTGGTTTACCTAACATGACATCAGAATTTAATTTCCACTATAAAGTTAATTTTGCAATCAGTTATTATTAGTTATAACTGTTATGATTACAGAGTTGATATTAACTTAACAATACTTAATAACACATTTACTTTTCAGAAAGCCATCTCATTATAATTACTGTTACCGTAATTATCACATAATTTTGCGAGCAATATTTAGTTAGCCAATGCATACTGTATATGCCATCATTAATAGCATTTTGATGCAGTTTATTCAAATTATTTTTATTTCCATTTCATGCTACAGAAGCTGACGTCAGGAAAGAAGGCTTTATAATATGATAACCTCAAACTTTTAAGAGCAGAAGCTCAATTTCAACTCTGATTTAGCAAATTTAATAGCACTGCGAAGTCTAAGTTCATTCACAGTTACCTGAACATTGGGTCTCCTTTTTCTTAAATTAATTGTTGGTATACCTACACCAATAGGCTGAAGCAACAGAAAAATGGTAATACATCATATATCAACATAAGTTAGGGTCCTCACCTAGAGCCAATTTTGATAGGATATTTTCTCGATTGAAAAAGATCTCATGATTTACTTGGAATTAAAAATATTTGGTAGGTAAACTATAGTTCATGATAATGCAGTAAATAAAGTAAAAGCCTTAAAATATCTTTATTGAGTACAAAATGTAATGTTAGTAAACTATCATTAAAATTCTTTGAGTCCAATGTTTTCCTTTTTTTCCTAGAACAGTATATACTTGAGAAGAGTAAAAGATAGCTTGTATAAGACAATTTTTGCTGACTCAAAAAAAAGACAAATAGGAATTGTTAGAATTTACATGATCCAAATGTGATATAAATAATATATGATATTGAAGTTTTAAATCTTAAGCTCTTGAAATCTGTGTCTTTATTAGTTATTCTAAATTGATATCAAACATTAGATCTGTGGAATTAATGGATAATTCAAAGATAACATTGTAGCTTTATTTTAAATGTTTTCTTTTAAAACTTATATTATGGACAATTTCCTGTAAAATAATCTTATAATTGATTAAATGATAAATGTTATAAGATACCTCATCAGGGTATTTTATTCATACCAAATAGAGTAAATTTATATTGTATTTTAAAATAAAGCAGACTAAACAATTTAACATTAGTCTAGAAGTGGCAAGGTGATGAGAATTCTCTGACAACATAAGTAATGATTCATTGAAAAGTATATAAGTAGGAAGATTTGTTAAATATGTATGCAGATTTAGATATATACTTACATATATTATTGTCATTTTTTTTCTGTGTATGATATATTTTAATTATTTTGTGGGGGGATTGAGGACTGTCATCAATCACAAGGAGCTCTGGTAACATAGTGGTCACTCATCTCATGGACAGCAGCTTGAAACTACCAGCAGTTGCATGAGAGAAAGATTTACAGCCTCAGAAACCCTGACATGGTCACTGTAAGTCAGAATCGACTCCATGGCACATAACAACAACAACAATCACAAAAGTAGGGATTCCTTAAACTGCTCAGCACATTTTTTTATTGCTTCTAAATAAATTAAAAGTCCTGGTGTGGCGCTGTAGGATGAGCATTGGACTGCTAACCACCAGGTTGGTGGTTCAAACCCACCAGCTACTCCTTGGAACCTTATAGAGGGTCTCTATGAGTAAGATCCAACTCAACAGCACTTAACAACAAATGACTTAAGTTATAGGAATATCTTTTAAAAAACATTTGCCAGCTATGGCAAAATCTTTGGATGTTTAAAAATTGTAAATAAATCTATTGTGTAATTTAACGTGGCACATTTTTAAATAACTGTGATGAACTGCTAATAATGTGAAAAAATACCTACCTGAAAAGAAAAACCATTCTAACCTATGCCTACCCCAGGTGTTTTAAAGTAGACCTGAACTCCATAGTTTTGCTAGTTTTGTTTTGTTTCTACAGCAGTCTTTTACAGAAACATACTGTCAGAACTTTCTCCCATGGTGCCAGTGGGTGGATTGGAATCCCTCATCTTTAGGTTAGCAGCAAAGAGCAAACTATTTGTGCCTCCAAGGAATGCTAAACCAAATCTGTTGTCATCAAATTGCTTTTAATTTTTATAATTTCACATAAGTGTGGACATACGAACACCCTTGTGTGTACCTTAAAATGCCACTAACATTAAATATACATGAGCTGGAGAAACTTGAAGTACTATGCATAAGTCTGCACACATTTCCTTCTAGTCATAGTTTAAAGTATTTTCAATATTATATTAAAAATTAAAGAATAACTTGAGAATACTTGGAAAGTTATAACCATGTAATAATATTTTTACCAATGTTTACTTCTATGCTGATAACTTGTCCTACTTTTGGAGAATAATGAAATATGAAAGAAGTTGAATTTTTAATTTTATGAAAATATATATTATGGGAAAAGAGACATTAGGATTAGCATGAAATGGCTCATCTATGGAATCTTAGCATTTCCCATTTAACTCTCTGGATATAAATTTCTCAATTCTGAAGCCATCCCACGGGGTTATAATATAAAATTTTGTAGTTATCTTCACAAGCCTGCCTGAGAAAGCAAATAAATATACTCTGGGAGTGGAAAGTAGAGATATTTACTAGAAAGGAAGGGCAATGGAAAATGTGGCCTGGACATAGAGGAATACTACTAATGTTCATCAGATTCATGCCCATTGTAGGGCAATAATCTTCTCTACCTTACAGCCTTAGTCTTCATTACTTTTAAGTTTTAATTGAGGTCTTTGTTGTTGTTAAGTGCCGTCGAGTCGGTTCCAACTTACAGCAACCCTGTATAGAATTTCCGAGGAGTAGCTGGTAAATTTGAGCCACCGACCTTGTGATTCAAACTGACCTTACGGTGCTGCTCTTATCTTACAGCATCACACTGATAGAGGGGGTGAAAATGGTGGTCTCTGAGATGGGAACATTGGATTAGTTAATGTGGTGGGAGAAAATGAAAATTGCTTTCACACTTTCATACGCAATAAACTAAAGTCATTTCATCTAATGATTGAAGCTACATTGCAAACTTCTTTTATATTTAGTGCTCTATGTGGCACTGTGGGTTAATGTGGCAGACTGTAAAGTCGTTTGAACTGCAAGGTCGGCAGTTCAAACTCACCAGCTGCTCCTTGGAAACCCTATATAGGGTCAACTTGATGACACTTAACAACAACAACAACAACAGTGACTTTTAAAATGACAAATCAGTATTTTATTGAACACTATTAATTGTAAACAAATTTTAGACATACCTTTGGCTGAAGATTTGGATGTAATAAAACATAACCATTAGGATCAATTGCAAAATAATAGCCATTGGGGCATAGCTAAAAAACAATGGGAAAAAAAAAGAGCTTAGATACATCTGTGATTCACACAGTGGAATTCACATTTAAAAAATTTGTTGATTACATATTGGAAAGCATGACCAAGCTTGGTATCCCTATTTTATCTTAAGGATGGTTTTTAACACTTAGTTCCTTAGTTAAGATTACTGTACTTTGAAAGAAGTGATATGTAGAAGCTAAGTTAGTACAAAGTTCTAAAATATAAAATGTACCAAGAGAATAAATTGCAATTTACTGTAAAACGTGGTGTCAGTCTTTTAATGTCTTCCAGAGACACATCGACTCCCATCACACCAAGAATCAGCTGGTTCTAAAATAAGACAACATAGGAAAACTTTTTAAAAATAAAAATGTACATATTTCTATACAAACATTATATACGTTCATCCTTTTATTTGACAAGGCTAGAATACAGCCTAGTTTACACATCTCTATTATGGGATGAGACATTTGAAGGGACCACTGATAAGGATCTTCAGGTTTATTTGTTTTTATACAGTTTTATCATCTTTAATATTTCACTTAAATGACAGTTTGAAGATTGAGGTTAAAGCATAAAATAATTACAGAAAAATTTATTTGACCCGTCTCATACCTCTTGGGCATGCTGGTGTGGCGCTGTGGATTAATGCACCAGACCGTAAAGCGGTTTAAACTCCAAGGTTGGTGGTTCAAGCTCACCAACTGCTCCTCGTAAACCCTATACAGGGTTGCTATGGGTCAGAATCGACTCAACGACACTTTACAACATACCTCTTTATCACTGAAATTTGTTGTAATATTGTAAAGGCAGGACTATAATTGTATGCATGTGTGTATGTGTGTATATGTATGTGTCTATGCATAAAGTGGAGACTGGCTTTGTGATGCACTGTGATTATGAAAGCACAACAATGTCCAGCTTAATGATATTGGGCCATCTGGAATGACCGAATACTGGAATTCGGCTGCTGACAGCATGTCTGTATGTACAACGATTCTAAAAAAGTATAAACCTTGTTGCTAATAAAATAGTACATATCATAAGAACATGCTCCTGGTTGCCATTAATAAATACTTTTAGATACATAGCAATGGACATTGTTGTTGTCGTTGCAAGTCAAAGATGTGATGTGGAAAATTGCTGTAATGCTTTTATAGGACATAAATGGCAATGGTATTAAATTTTAGAATTAGGGGTTTTTGTTTCAATTAGTCCTATTAATTTTTAAATTATGCATTGAAATATATTTATAAGGAAAATAATAAAATCCAAGTAATAGTCATTATAAAAATAACACAGGTACAAATACAGTAAAAATTTAAGCCAACAGCTATACTCTTTTCCCAAGATCTTATCCTATACTAACTGAGCAAAATCCCCTATTAATGAAACCCCTTATTCTATAGTGCGAAACCTCATATGAGGAGTTAGGGAATTGCTATCTTATGAGTTAACAATATTTAGAACCCTCAGATATTTAAGAATGGCAGTGAGCCTCCAAAGAGAAACAACTAATATTTTCTATAACCCCATTATTAAAATAAGGCATTCAATTGAGATTTATAATGCCTAAGCAAATAATGTTTAAGAGCAAAAGACTTCATCATACTCTAAACTAGAAATAAATATCCTCTGAAATAAGAAATGCCATCTGAAATACATAATGAATATTTAGTGTAAAAAAAATAATAAATCTTAACTTCTATTGCTGTCTTAAATTGCTTCTGAATCAAGCTAAGAAATAGGGAAATCAACCCTGTGTTTAAATCAAAATGAAAAATGCCATATCAAAAGGACAAGATACATCTTTTAAGTAGATGGTATTTTACTGCATGACTAATCAAGCAAGAGAAACAATCTGTCAAGCAGTAGAAATCAGTATTTTTTTATGGAACTCATTTTTATTGAACTTTATAAAATATTAAGGAGCTTTGATGGCTTACTCGTTACGAGTCAGGCTGCTAACCTCAATGTTAGCAGTTCAAAACTACCAACTGTTCTGCGGAAGAAAGATGAGGTTTTCTGCTCCCGTGAAGATTTACAGCCTCGGAAACCCTATGCAGGGTCACTATGATTTGGAGCCGACTTCATGGCACAGCCCCCACCACCACCATCACCATCAAATATTAAAACATAAAGAAGACTGTTCATTTAAATCATTTTCTTAGCTATAACGATCATTTAGAAGCTATTGTTTGAATAGGAGTTGGATCAGAACAGATTCGATAAATAATATATTTATTGGCGATGATGGTTATGTGCCGTGGAGTTGGCTCCAACTCACAGAAACCTTGCACAGGGTTTCGGGGCTGTAAATCTTTACGGGAGCAGAAAGCCTCATATTTCTCCCACAGAAGAGCTGGTATTTTTGAACTGCTGACCTTGAGGTTCGCAGCCTATTTTGTAACCAATACGCTACCAGAGATCCTTAAATATATCTATTGTTATTGTTGTTGTTAAGTGCCGTTGAGTCGATTCTGTTAAGGAACCTCAAAAAGTATCCTACAAAAAAATCCTAGAAAACTTTGTAGCTTTTATTATGTGCTGTTGAGTCAGTTTCAACTGATAATGACTCTGCTCAGGGTTTCTGAGGCTTTAAATCTTTACAGAAACAGAAAGACTCATCTTTCCCCCATGAAGTGGCAGGTGGATTTGAATTGCTGACCTTGTGGTTAGCAGTTCAATGCATAATTCGCTACATCACCAGGGCTTCCAACAGAAATTTTTATTAAACGAAAATATGAAAATGTAAAGCTCATGTTTGTCAGCAAATCCTTCATCTAGGTCCATGCACTTCTAAAGGTTATGTTTCCATCTATATAACCCTTTCTGAAAGAATTTTGTGCTCTTTGATTTAAACATTTAAACTGCATTTTGGCATCCTCAAGGGATGCAAAATCATGTTCCTTTGAAATATCATGAGTCTTGGGAACACAAAGAAGTCTGAAAGGTCAAGATCAGTGGCAAAGGGTGGGTAGGGGAAGATTTCTCAATGAAATTCTCATGAGTCAGCCCTTGCTACCTGTGAAACATGAGCAGGTGCATTGCTGGAAAAAAAAAAAAAAAACCTTTTTGGTGAAGATTTCCTGACTCTTTTTTCACCAATGTAATTTTAAATTTTCTTAAAACTTCTTACTCATAACTCCCCACGAGGTCCTGTGTCCTTCAAGAAAACTTATCAAGATTACCCATTTGGAGTCCCCTAAACAGTCTCCTGGTGTGGCGCTGTGGATTAATGCACCAGACAGCAAAGTCGTTTGAACTGCAAAGTCGGTAGTTCAAGCTCACCAGTCACTCCTTGGAAACCCTATACAGGGTCGTTATGTGTTGGAACCGACTCGATGGCACTTAACAACAACAAACAGTCTCCATCTTTCTCCCGTGGAACAACTGGTAGTTTCAAACTGCTAACCTTAAGGTTCGCAGCCCAATTTGTAACCACTACGCTACCAGAGTCGGTTCTGGCTCCATGGCACATAACCACCACCACCAAACAGTCTCCATAAGTTGAGCTAACCTCTCGGCCTTGAGTTTATCTTGCCTGGAAGATTGCCTCTGAAGCAACTGGACCTGTTTTTGAAAGGTACTCTAACAAGACTAAGAAAAGTACATTACTGATAGATGTGTATGCAGACACAGACCAGAGACATATTTAAACATGTTTTGTTGGGAATAAACCAGTGCATGTAAGACTGGAACCCTAGTAACAGTGCTTTGTACGTAGCCTCATATGCACACCTGACATAAATAACAGCATGGGTTACCTTTTTAGATTCCCGCCCTCCCACCCCCCGAACTCCATATCTTAGACTGACTTTAATTATTATCATCCATGATTCCTGTAATTCTTTCCAGAGTCTGGATTTGTGTTCCCATCAAGTCTAAGTTAAATATAGCAAAGCTAAATCTTGGTTGTTAGGGCAAGAGAGGTTGACCAGCATTTCCTATTTCCAGGTTGTTATCACGTATGCAGCTGTTCCCTTTTAACTTCTGACCTGACAAGACAGTTACATTATATGTATTCCCTTATAGAAATATCCTCTCTGCATTGAGTTTCAGTGTCATAGTTTATCATTTATAATTATTATTTTTATCAATTAACTTGTAACCTTTATGTTTCCTTTATCTTGGCCAGTTACGTTGAAGACAGGAAGAGTTCCAGTAATGACAAGTCCGAGTTCCTAAAAACAAATTCAGAGAGAAAAGGCAAATTTGAGTTAAAATTTAAACTTTATAATACTAAGATATTTTTTAATTTTTGACATTGTATCTTATAGATATTTTATAAGAACTACAAAAAATCTGGCAAGTAATTCTGAATATCTACTAAAGCTTATTTTCCAAACACTAGCAGTTAAAATGCTGTGAAAAGAGTCTGGACATATTAGCTAGTTATTGAAACATGCTCCATCTAAACTAGTACTCTGAGAGCATTGTAAATTACACATATGATCAGTAGCACCTAAACATTCCCATAACCCTGTCACTACTTTTTAAAAAAACATTACTACTGGTTCACCTAATATCAGGAGTAAAGCTATACCAGAACAGCATCCATGAACAGAGCAATGCTGAAATACTATTTTAAATAACTTAATTGCCTTCCATCATTGTTAATTGCATTGCTAATTATTTCATGTCCTGAGCTTTATGTTATTGATACTGCATTTCTGGGATAAACACTACATTCTTTAAAAGAAGCAGCAGTGCCTCTAAATCCAGTCCAGTTGCCAGTCAGTCAGTTCTGACTCATGGGACCACATGTGTGTCACAGTGTTATGTAGAATTTTCAATAGCTAATTTTTAAGAAGTAGGTAACCATGTCTTTCTCTTAGGGCATCTTTGGATGGACTCAAACCACAAACTTTCAGTTAGCAGCACAGTGTTTAATGATTTGAGAAACCAACGGAAACCCCTCTCCACCCAATAAAATGTCTTAAATGGGCTATGATTTATAATCATCCATCTGGAAAGCCAAAGACAATGTGAAATTAATTAGTTAGGAAAGACAATCACAGAGAAGCTTTCAGAAGAATGAAAGAAACCAAATTTTTTGTGACATATAAAAATTAAGAGCACAATTGGGTGATGGCATATACCTTGGCTTTCTATTTCTTCCTAAGCCAAAACATTCTACAATGAAATCATTTTGATTGTGTATACAAATTAATGTTCTCAATGAAAATTTTCCACTTTAATGAAGACAAAATCCAAAATAATCCATGAAACTATATCCAGAAGATAATTCAATAAAGACATCTTTCTATTTGAGTTATAGTTTATATGCACAATTTTGAAGCACTATCATCATGTGGAGCTGAAGGATAAACACTGGACTGATAACTGCAAAGCTGGCAGTTCAAACCACCAGCAGGCTCTTCAGAAACCCTATATGTATGGTCTTGCTGAATTGGCACCGACACTGTGTCACTCAACAACAACAACACTGTAAAATATATGGAGTATATGGACAAGTGTTTTTACATCACTTTTCAAGACATAGAGTATCATGATTTGCTTAGAAAAATCCTAACATATACTCAAAATGATATCCTAGACTACTAACCTAATGGACTTCAGATATTCACTAACAATCTCATTGACACTCACTTCTATTTTCTCCCTATTTTATGAAAAAATAAAACTGCATTCTATCCCTAGGTACTGCACAAATCACTAAAGAAAAAAAAATGAAATAAACAAGATTTCTACCTTGAATATTATTTTATTTTTATTTTCTAGCGAGGCTGAATCTTTAAAATAAAGATCCTTACTTTATCTTCCAAGTCAAATGAAAACTGAGCCTATTTGCTTGACCCTCCACAATATGGTGCCACCTTGTTTCTTCCATTACTTCCCATCATCTCTAGAAGTGAGTTAGCTATTGTTCCTTCAACATACACAGCATTTTCTTACTTCTACACTGCATCCTCTCTGTGGGAAAGTTGACTCATAATTTCTGCTAAACTGTTGCCATCTTTTAAACTATATCCCATTCCCCAAGGTATGTGGCTTCTTTCTTTGGAATTTCCAAAGCTCTTTGCATTTGTTTTCATTCTTACTTTGTCTTGGGTCATGTTTATTTCTTCCTTGTAGGAGGCAGCTTTAAAAAATTCATGGAAAAACGGAATTGAAAGATAATTGAATTTTTTCATGAACTTTTTGAAGCTCTCTTGTATTGATTTGAGCCTCCAGCATTTTGAATGCATTGTGTGCATAATTATTGAATATATTATTTGCATAATTATAAAAATAACTAAAATATGTCATGACAACATATATTTCTCAAGCAGTAAAAAGAATGCTTTATGAGTCTTCTGGGTAGTCAATTCTTGAGTCCCATTGTTTTCTTTTTTTCTGAAAGATTTTGACTTGTAAACAGTGCATTTAGAATCAACATTTCCTCCCAGTGTCATCTGGGCTATCAGTAAGAACTTTTCCAGCAATGCAGACATACTGGCTAATGAACTTCTGGTCACAGGAAATGCAACAGAACACAATAATTGACTTATCCATGTCATGTACACTGTTCTGTGATGGATTTGAAAAACTGAAACTCTGTGACCATAGTTTTTAGATGACCATGCGACCTTAAGTAAATATGTGATGTCAAAAAGGAACACTGGACAGTCATTTTAGCTCAAGCTTGAGGTAAGCAAGCTTAACATTTATCTTTCTTAGCATGCAAAGCTTCACTAATAGTTCCTATTCTTCTAACTTCCTTAAAATGTTTATTTTACAAGAAAACAATGATAAATAATACTAAATGGATTATAATTTGCCTTTTGGGTTCATTACTGCAGTTAGAAAAGCAATATCAGCATATAATTTAACTCCAAGTAGATAAAAAAAAGGTTATTGAATTAGCATTTACATTTAGGGCTTGAATTTTTGTATTTTTCTCTAACATATTATATTAGCCAATCATGAATAAAGTCCTTTCATTAAGATAAACATACAGATAAATCTGAAATAGAATGATTCTATTTATAACTTTTATGATATAAAAGTACAAGTATTGAAACAATGTTTCTCATCTTAGTCACTATTGACATTTCTCTCTGTGTGTAATGAAGTCTAACAGCATCACTGTAAGTAGAATATTCTTTTAGTCACAATAATAAAAAAATTCTCCAGACATTCTCAAATGTAAACTGGGGCAAAATTATCCCCTCTTTGAGAACCATATTTTGCCATATAATGAAGTACCTTGACCTAACATGGCAATTGTGCAATGGACAAATAATTATTTCACAATCGTTTTGATGACCTCAGTGTGTCTTAGTTAAGCGAGGAATAATATATAAAGAGAGTTAGGTTCCTGATGATTTCAGGGAAGGGTAAACTGTACTTTTGAGATTTAGTGGGTTGATCACACTTGTGGAAACTATAAATCTTTGTTACTTGAACCCACTATTGTCAGTTGTGCCCTAGAGGACCGAGTAGAACTGTTTCACCAAGTTTTCCAGGCTCTAAATCTTTACAGAGGCAGAGTGTCTAAATCATTCTGCAAGCAGCTGGTGGGCTAGAACTACTGACCTTTAAGTTAGCAGCCTAACAATTAACCCACGGGACCACTAGGCTCCTTCTGTTAACTAAAGTGTGCTTTAGAAATATTTCCTTGAAAATTCTTATTCAACTTCTTCAGTAATTGTTTCTAATGAGTCCACATGAATTTTAGCATTATGTATTCATTGCCTTGAAAAGTCAAGAAAATTACTAAAACGCTGATAAAGTCAATTTTAGTTTGAAAAGTCTAGGATGTAATTCTACGTTCTCAGTAGGTCAACCTGAAAATAAAATAGGATTTTATGTTTGTGGTTCTATATACCAGGACAGCAAGACTTCACCTCTCATACTTCAGACTTATTATCAGGAGAAACCAGTCCCTGGAGAAAGACATCAGGCTAGGGTCAGCCTAAAAGAGGAAGACTCCCAGCCAAATGGATTGGCACAGGGGCAGTGACAAAGGGCTCAAGCTTAACGATGATTATGAGGATGGCTAAGGACTCGCCAGTGTTTCCTTCTGTCATGTATAAGGTTATTATGACTCTGACTCGGCAGCATCCAATAATAACAATTCCATACATGCTTAGATTTTAATATAAATCATTTGAATCTTGGTAAAGAAAGCTATGATAAAAGAAATTTTAAGAAAGTGTAAACATACCTGGGAAAGAAAAACATAACCTAGAAAGATATAGAAGTGTGTTATGTACCTTTATTATGGCATTAGTTTTCTGTTGAACAGCCCAACATCTTACCAATGCATCCAGGTATACATTTGTCCATTGGACTTGCTTAGCTTTGTCTCCTGCTAAAACCATCGGTCTTCCCAGAACATCCAAATATTCCTATATAGAAAAAAAAAAAAAAAGTTAAGTGGTTGAAAACTAGAAATGATGTGCTTAAAACAAAAAAATGTACACAAAGGAAAAAACTACAACTAAAAATGAATGTTTAATCAAAATTATTAAGAGTATATAATCATTTAATCCCAACATTGAGTAGTCCATAAATGGTATGTCTACATACTTTGAAACAAAAAGAAAATGAATTTATCTTACTATACAATATATCTACTACTGTTTTTTTCTAGTAACAATAAGAACATTTTCATTCTGAGGTACAGCCAACAATAAGTGAAATACATTCCTTGTAAATTGTTTTATGCTAATCTAAACTATTTGAGACTCTGATTTACTGGTGGGATTGCACACATTTGAAATAATAAAGCAGCCACATGCTTGCTTTCACATCACAGATTGTTTGGCTGAAATTCACACTATATTTAAACATATCAAAAAATAAATGAAATACTGTGCCAAATCTCAATATCAGACTCAAATGCAGCTGCTGTTTCCTTGCAGTATTCAATGTATTTAGTGTTCGTTTCCACAAATGCAATGTAAAATTTATGTTAAATTTTGATTTAGTCTATTTTGCTGATCTTCAGCTAAGCTTTAAAATCAGCAGTGGTTTAAAATATTTTTGAATATTTAAATGCATATTTAAATTAATTTAATTACTTAATAGCCATGTTTTCAAACAAATAGTTGTGAAAAACACATCTCCTAATCTAGTCTGATTTTAGAAGGAAAATTGATCTACAAGGGCTATTTTAGGATTCATCTAAGTTCTGATGAGGGTCCCATGTAACTATTGTTTTGTCTATGTTGTTCCTACAACTTGAAGAACCTCACTTAAATGAAACTGCAGTAGAACCAAATTCAGTTTACATGAGAAGATATTGCCATTTAATGTAAAGATTTACACCCTCGGAAATCCTGTAAAGGGTCGCTATGGGTCGGAACCGACTCGACGGCACTTAACAACAATGTTTATTTTCTATGGCATTTTTATCATTCAAAAATAACAATAAAGTTTTTTTATACTCTTCTGTTTTGTTTTTTAACCTGAGTTTTGAATGTTTGAAAACACCTGGAACTTCAATGAAATAACAATACATTATTATGATGGTCATATATTTTAACCCAAATGCAGTATTAACATATCTTTCTTCATTCTCACCTATTGTCAACATATTGTGCAGATTTTTACATTTAATGTAGGAAAACATTTATCTTATTATTGAAAAAATAATCTAAAAAGTTTGTAATAACCGTACCTGAGTATTGATTCTTATAGCTCCAATTGAAGGAATTTCATAATAATACCCTGAAATATACACAAATACCACACTACTTATTATAAAGGGCAATAAAAGTATCTTTTCTTTGTAAGAGATGAAAAACATTTAATTTCAGAGACAAATATTAAATTATCGATACTATTGATAAAAGTAGAAAATGTTTAATTATTGTGTATTTGCAATGCAAGGTTCTATGAGAATGTTGCTACATTTTTAAGAGTAGCAAAAAGTAAAGCAAAGCAGTAGAAAGTCTGCCTGCAGTTATTAAAGATATGTATATATCACTGGAGAAATTAAATATGCATGATGGATAAGTATCTGTAAATTATTATATTTATATAAAATATTTGCCTAAATATAACCTTAAGAATAAATCCAGGTTGTTTTTGTTGATGTGTGATTACATTTAATTTTTGAAATAACATCTTTTATTCTGAGTATAAAGGAAATAGGGGCTTACTGGATAAAACATGGATTATTTCAGAATGTATGAGAATAAAAAAAAATAATCAAAATTACCAATAACCACTCAGAGAAAAAAATGAATGTGTATGTCACCCTCTCTTAAATCCAAATTTTATAAAATGCACATATTTCTTATTCCTAATTTTTCATGTAAGATACTTTATATTAGTATAAAAATTTCATTAAAAATGTTTAAATGCACAATAGTATGATAAGATGTCTGAATTTTAATATGCCATTCATGCTAAAGTTTGTTGTGTGTGTGTGTGTGCTTCCTCTACACAAAACATATTCAGAGTTGTATTTTTGCCTCACTTCCTATAATATTAACTACCAATTTTAAGTATTTCCCATAATATGTGGACTTCACTATAGCTATCAAAGTATTTTTTCGTCTAATAAAATGTGATCAAGAAAACATTTGTTACCTTTATTTTCACAAGCCATCCACTGAATAGGTCCTCTGTCATAGTTATGTTGACCAACTGAGAATGTGAATACACGTACCTGGATGAATTAAAAAATATATGTATTTGTTATGCTGAATGAAATTTAATCAAATGGAAAAACATTATAGCTAATGTTAAAACAACTGTATGCTTTACAGTTGATTGATATGGTAAGAAAAAACTGAGTTTAGTAAAGAATTATAACAGACTGCTGACAAACAAATCACTTGGCTAATTCTAAATCCAGGAAGCCTCCAGCTGCTAAATTTGCACTTGGGCGCCTTATACCATATTCCAGTCCCTAAACAGGATTATGACAAAGGCTTCATTTGTAGAATATGGTATGTTTCACTTCCAATTGAACTTCACCTGGCTAATCAAAAATTTACTGATTTCAATGTGCCATAAATATACAAATAGCAATTTGCTTTAAGCAGTAAATACTATGACAATTTTATTTCAAATGTGATATTTTTTAAACTGATAGCAATTTAAATGTTTATTGGAAACCATTAGCTTAGATATTAGTATAAATTATAGGTAAATTATAGATAAACTAGTTTGAAAGAAAAAATGATTAAAATGGCCATTTTACATACTGATTTTTAAAAATAATCTAAGTAAAGCTAAGTTCGAAGCTGAACATTTGAGTTTTTCTACAGATAAACAAGTTGAATATTACTTTTCCATGATTTCAAATTCTGGTTTATGACATTCTTGAAATATGAACTCTGTTAAGAGCTTTTCCCTAATTCATGTTGACTATTTAAATTGATGTTTTCTAATTGCTTCATCTGTTTTATCTTTTGCACATGATTCCAGAACACAAATCTCAAAAGAGATTTCACATCTGTTCTCTGTTCTTTCGCTAGTCTTGACCACACAGATCACATCATAACAACCCCTGCCTCCAAATTCTACATTGCGAATGTTGCTGTCTCATTGTAAGAAGGTTCTATGTAAGTCACCCTCAAATTAACCAGAGTTGCCTTACCCCATTATTTAAGAAATCATTTAGTAGATATGTATTTGTTTCAATCACTGTCAATTGTAAAGATGCATGACTGGTACTAGGCTAACAATAGATGTTGGTGATTCTTCTCTATATCTGTTCTAGGTTTTTAGGGTTTTTTGTTTTCCCTCCTTCTCTCTCTCTTCAGAAATTCCCCTCAAAATAGAAATGGTTTCATTTTCTTCATCAGTTGAGACCGGCTATATATTTTCAATGTAATGCTACATCTTACATAGTTGAGCTTACTTCTAAATGGAAATATTTCCATAAGCAAGTTGGCCACCCTAACTGTTAATTCAATTTAAATGCAATACCTTAAACAATTGTCACATGAATTCAGGAAAAGGAAGGAAATCCAGATGCCCCAGAAAGTACTTGGGGAATTGTCTCCATAATGAATATTTGAAAACATGCTTAAACTTTTTATTTTAAAGCACTGCTTTGTCTAGTCGCTTTTACTGCTACAATTTTCTAATAAAACACTTTTCAATAAGTAGAAATAAATGACAAAGACTAAATTAGTCTTCATGTCTGTTTCTAGAAGACAAGCATTTCCAGTGACATACAAACTACACTTAGAGATACACCATGTGATTATTCTGACTGATGTTATCCATCAAATAGTACAAATAAACACATCAGTAAAAAAAACATACCAGTCAAAACAGCTTGTTGCTTTATTTGTTTTTACTACAAAAGTTTTGCGTAACTCCCATGTATTTGCCTACATGGAGTTCTTAGATGATGTGAAAATTAAGAGTATATTCTGTCACATTTAATTATAATTGTATAAATATTTTAGGCATGCTAAATGGATTCTTTTTTGCCTCTCTTTTTGTTCTCAGTTACACAAAGGTCTCTGGCTATTTAAACACAAGCTGCATTAACAGACAGAATCATTGCCACGTTACAAATATATACTTTATTCCCTTTTTTTTTTCAGTTTTAATTTGTGTTAACATAGAAATGCTTAAAGTCATTTTCTTTAATGTCTAAAATGCAATTTTCTTCATATTCCTTGCTTATATTTAAGAATTATGAAGACAGCATTCTTTTCTTCTTATAAAACTTTTGCACTGTCTTACCATTACAATAATTACAAAATCATTCTAATATAGCTAAGAATTTTTACTTGTCAATATTTAATGATATATGTAATCTTACAGTTTTTCAAAATGATTGTATACAAATAAATTGAGAAATGTTAGATATAACTCTAATTGTTTTACTCTGTATATGACAATGAAAAATGAATTTAAAAGTATTTAAATCCTAGGTACCATATGCTGGTTACTTGACTTGGCTTTAAATATTTTAGCTAATCATGTAATAATAATTTTAACTGTATTTCATAAACAATTTATATCATATAGCATCCTATATAATATAAGGCATAGACATAATGAATTGATAGAACTGAAAACACTAACTTTCCACTTGGTTTTGTGGATGGTGTCATTTGTTTTACACTATATTACTGCCACCCTGTGGAATAGTCAATGAACTAACTCCAAAATTCCAAATGCCAGAATACACAGAAATGAATGATGAAAACCTAGGTGATTCCTGTCTCCCATCACCCCTAATATTTTTTTTCTGTTTTAGATTTAGTCCTGTTATTATTTTTGGAAAAAGGGAAAATGAAGTTATTCCTTGATGTATGCAAAATTTTTTAGTTAGGGTAAATTGTGATCTCAAATATATTTGTAAGAGTTATTGTAGTCCTAATTATTATATTTGCAATATCCTTTACAAAAACACATAAAATAGCACACAGAATAATTTAAAAAATGAATGTATTTTTGAATTACACAAATTAAATAGCTTAGACCATGTTTATGAATCAAGGCAAAGTCAACTTTTGTAGAGGAGAATTTTCCTCATCTGTGCCAAGCTGTTACTTTTATAATCACAATACCAAGTTCATGTAACAAATATACATTAGAATCTTTTCTTTCTTGGTGAAATGCCCTGGATCATTTGCTTAATGGTCCCTGGCTAATTTGTATAATTTTAAGTAGGCTTATCTTTCAAAAGGTTTGCTTCCATGAAAGTTTCTTTGTCTGGTCATATATTAGACATATACAATCACAAATGGCATTGACAAAACATTTCCATAATGCTAAATTTCAGGTTTTTTTAAAACAAGATAACGTGGGAAGCTGGTATTGAATAAAAGCTGGATTGACTTAAAAACAGTTTCAATAATGCATAGCACCACTGGCACATAAATGGAAAAAAAGACTTACTAAATAAAAAATTTTTTAAATTATTTTCTGTACTTCATACCAGAGGGATCTACAACAAGTTCTTCTGACGTATAAATCAGTTGATAATAATACATGGAAATTTTTATTATATTTAATATCAGAGTGAACTCTTAATCTTTTTGTCTTATATAGAGCTGAGAAAACTTTTTCAGGTGAAGCAGTTAATACACTTATACCATTGTGTACTGCTTTAGTCTTAGAAAATGAAAAAAAAAATTATATATATATATTCTCATCATTTTTGACTCATGCTTAGTTATATAAACATTTTCAGAGGACTATTGATAATTTGGGAGCAGATCTAGTTAAGTTGAACTTAAAACAAATAAAAACTACTTTATTGTCAGTTGTGAATTTATATAATTTTGCCTTCAGATGTTTCCAAAAAAACTATTTCCTAGGCTTTAAACGATAGTTCTGAACAGAACGTTATAATTTCAGTAATTCCAAGTTGATATGTCAAGCCTGGCCTAGTTAAGTAGAGAAAAACTTTTAATTAACAGTAAATTTGGTTACTTAAAATACGCTACTGATTTGTAGCTTACAATACTCCACTGATTTATGAGTTTACTCTACAGTTCTTGACTTCTGCTAATCTGCTTTTGGTTTTGTTTTGCTTTTTGAATTCTAAGATGCTTTTCTTCAGTTAAGAGTTTTGCAAAGCCACAAGGTCAGCCTATTTTTAAAAACCATAAGAAGTTCTTGTTTCCCAGCAAAACGCAGTTACTGGAAACTGTCACTTTAGCAATTATCAGTTACTCAGAGTTCAAGTTTAATTTATAATAGGCAAATCTCCAAAGAATAATGGAAAAGAGACTATGAAGAAAGGGAGCCAATAAAATTAAAATTAAAACTTCAGCTATCGAAAAATGTTAGAAAAGTGATGTCAGAGATGGGTTTTATCAATTTACTAAATTTTTGGCATTGAGTCTATAAAAATAATGGGCAGGGCTGAATATTTTAGTAGAAAATTTTGTCCTATTTTCCATAATTCACAAATATTCCACAATCCAGAGCATTTGAATAATCCATATGTAATTTTATAGCATTGTAAAATAAAAGTGTCCAAATACACCTTTCACACTTATTTTATAAAGCTCAATGATATGAAAGGTTCTTGTAATCTGCAGTATTCTAACAATTTAGTTTAATCCATCTTGGCCTGTTTGGACTCTGAGGTGCATGTCCGTTAGGGTTAAGTCTGACCAAGACTGGTGTGCAAGTGATGGTTGTCCTACCCTCACAGATGCCCAGAGGTAGAAGAGAAACATACCAGCCAAGTGTGTTTCAGTTGATCATTTAACCTTGACTTAGTCACTTGGTAGCTGTATGACTTACTGCAAGTTATTTAATTTCTTTAATTTTAATTTCAAAAAATGGAGATAATTATAATAATAATTTAATCATATAGCTAGTCATAAGTGAATTAATACATGTAAAGCACTTATTTGGAGAATTATAATTCAATAGATACTAGTAACAGTAATGAAAATAATTATAATGTTGACTATGGTATTATCTTCATGGCCAAACTATTAATATTTCCATTAATTTAAAAAAGAACTCAAAATAACATTCTGGTGAGCATCCTGGCTCTTTCTTATACATGGAACTGAACTCTAAATAAAAGAGGCCAAACGTAGGAAAACTGTTGCTCCATGCAGGGGATTACCATCATTGAGATGAAACAAAGAATAACATTTGTTGAATGTAAAACTGATGATCTCTGTAAACCTTCACAAAATTCACAATTAAAAGTTTAAAAACATGAAAAGA